GTGTACCTTCTGCTACAGTGTTTTAATTTCACAAATTTACAGAGTTAGAGGAAGCATAGTGGTAGCTAGATTATAGTTAGTCCTCCTACGGATGGTTCTGATATAGTCCGCAAGATGATCTGCTATCTACCATTTCCTGTTTTTTCATCCTTCATTTCTTTCCTCTCACACACTTCATTTCTGATTCCCTACATTTCGCCTTCCTTATTCCTCTTCTTCCTCTCTCCATCCCTTATTTTTTCCTTCCCTCTCTCTTTCTCTGTCTCTCCCTCTCACTCCTCTTTCCCTCGTTATCCTCCTACATCTCTCCTTCCTCCTCTTCACCCTCCCTCCTTCCCCCTCCTCGAATTCCATCATGGATCATAAAAAAAAATACGTGAAATGACAAGGGTACGGACCGAGTAGTTTTAGTTTTCAAAGGAATCACAACATTACATTCGACATCAAGGTTCTGAGTCTCCACGGGTTGGGCCAGCTGCTCATTCGTTCTCTCTCTCTCTCTCTCTCTCTCTCTCTCTCTCTCTCTCTCCTCTCTCTCTCTCTCTCTCTCTTCCTTTCTCTCCCCAAGCATACACACACACACTATATATATATATATATATATATATATATATATATATATATATATATATATATATATATATATATATATATAATATAAATTTACCCAAGGCAAGTCGTAATGAATGACTGTCACAAACTATATAGAATAACAGACAGGGATTAGAACCGTGCTCCACGTGGATAGCATGCTCATCGCTGTAACCATTCAGCCACGATTTTACATCCAGCATTTCTATGACATAGTTGTATCACCGACCACCATCTGTGACCCTACTGTCTCATTCCATCCCCCCCCCCCATGCGCCGCCATGACACATTCCTTGTCATAACCTTCAAAGCAAGACAGTCTATAACTCGAAGATGTCTGAAGGATGTTTTCGAGGGGCCAACGCTCCCGCGACCCGGTGGATCAAGGCCTGATCACCTAGGCCGCTGCTGCTAGCCGCCGCACACAGTCTATCGTGCGCCACCGCCCGGCTGTTCAGGAATTGATTCGAAGAAATTGTAAAATTCCCTATTTGAAGACGACCACACTTTTGACGGTTATTTCCCTTATGCGCGGAAGATCTTTGAAAAGCCGGGAACCCCTGACACTCATCGAGTTCTCTCATCATATACTTGTCTTGTCCTTGCCAGGTCTCTTGTTGCCATACTGAGGGATTTCGGTGTGCAGATTTGGGACCCGTCCCTCCAGGATTTTCCAGATGTAAATAATTAAGTACCTTTCTCACCTAGGTTGATCTTGTTGATCCGCCATTTTTCATCTTAAAAACTTCTACTGTACACAAATTCCGGCAGTTTTTTATATATCTTCTGGCAGAAAGTTGAACGGTCTTGGACCATGGATACTAATACGATATATTAGATAAGGAAGACGTTTTACCACATGTTACTTGGCGACGAGCCGATAAATAATGAAACAAAAGATAAAGCTGCACTACGTAAGACTTCAAATATTTGACTTAATACCTGGGGTATACCTATGTGCCAGTAACTCTTCACAGATAACCTACACTTTAGATAGGAAACAGTTACGACTGATAATGGTCCAGGAATTATCGAAACATTTTCTAAAGTGTCCTCTACAATGTGTGGTTATTCATGAATTCCTCAAGCAACGGCTTTGTGAATATTATTCATTTTAACGTAACTCGAAATGCATAATTAAAAGCACACAAGTGTAACATTTACGCAGCAAATATTTATACACAAGCTATTTGTTAACTCAAACACAGAGTTAGCATAACTACCACTACAAGCTAGCACACACGAAAAGCATTACAGGGGGATGGGGGATTGAAAATACGTCAATTAAATATAATCCCAGTTCTGTACTGAAATCTTAATTCTGTCTCATATAGGTATAGGATTCCCAATCCTACACTTATATAAACAAACACACACACACACACACACACACACACACACACACACACAAACACACACACAGGAGCTTGGACTCGACCCCTGCAACCTCAACTAGGTGAGTACACACATACACAATGATGATAATGGTTATCACACTCCACAAGAAAAACAAAGGATTACGCAATGGATTACAGCGCTAATCCTGTGTCTTGAGAAAACCCTAAGCTGGTTTTGTTGAATTACTCCTTCCCTAATGATTTAGCAAAGGTGAGTGAGGCCATTTTCTATAAGTGATGCACATTAATGTTTTCCTCTGTCATCACCAGACGTAGAGGGATCTGGGGATATACGTCTTGAAACGGAATGTCCTTTAAAGTTAATTTGTTTTCCTGAATTTATGTTTCACTGTTTACATGCCTATGCCTGTGTGTTTGTGTGTGTGTGTGTTTGTGTACTCACCTATTTGTGGTTGCAGGGGTCGAGTCCTAGCTCCTGTGTGTGTTTGTGTGTGTTGTGTGTGTGTGTGTGTGTGTGTGTGTGTGTGTGTGTGTGTGTGTGTGTGTCTTTC